GACTGCCTAAGCCTATAATCATTCAAAATAAGAAACACTTCATACGATTTTCCGTACTGCCACGTGGCTTTCATGCTGGCTATGTTAAGATCACAGGTATGAAGGGTGAACAACCAAAAGAGGCCCCAGTAAATGATACATTGTTAGAAACTAGTCAAAAAATGGAGTCAATTACGACAACATGTGAAGACAAGACGAGTCTGAATGTACCATCAGATCTTGATCACGATTCAATATTACTTGACGATATGGATGTAGCAATAAACAGCAAACCAGGTAGGGGTATTTTTATTTGGTCAATAATTTATAATTGTATCGTGTTTGTATTTGTAAAAGCTATAATTCTTTTTAAAACATTAATGCAAGAAATATTTAAACAATTCGTTCTGACAATTACATAAAGATGTTTAATTATATTACGTACAAAGGTTAAAATCTTGAAAATAGATTTTTGTTGTGCTACAAATTTGATTTTTTAAAATTATAATTATTTTGTAGTTATAAAAATTACTTATTCTTATTCTTTTAATTTTTTATTTTATAAAAATTTAATTGTAAATAAACTCAATATTATAATTGTCAAAATTTTCATACAATATTTTTATTTGCTTTTTCCAGTTTCATTTATATATATTTAAATAATAATTAATGTTTATTTCAGAAAAATATTTATGTTATAGATTTACAGTTAGATGTACTATCATCGGTTGTTCCATCAGCAATGGCACCATCGTCTGGATTATCTTACCAAGCTGAACCTGTTGAAAATTCACCTACAACTGTACCAGCACTTACATTGCCACTTAATCTTAATGAATTATTCCAAAGATTAGTTGAAACTGGGATTGTTCCAAATCTTGTTGAGACAAAGAAACAAGAAGAAGAAGAAGAGAAAAAGCAACTAGAAATTATTCTAATTTCATTTGATAAACCAGAGACATTAAAAATGTAATTTTTATCTTGCATAAATATTATATTAAATATTAGAAATTTTTTAATCAATTGATTTTTACTTATAAATTATATTAATTTTAAAATTTCTATAAATAATAGTATACTATAATTTAATAAAGATTTTTATTTTATTTATGAATTATATTAACAATATACATTTCTCATGTATAGAAAACAACCCATTATTGTAATGGCATTGTATAGTGGTATGCAATGTAGTTCATGTGGAGCAAGATTTGCTCCAGAAATGGCTACTCGTTATAGTCATCATTTAGATTGGCACTTTCGACAAAATCGTAAAGAGCGAGATTTGGCAAGAAAAGCACATTCGAGACCATGGTACTACGATGTCAGCGATTGGATTCAATTTGAGGAAATTGAAGATCTCGAAGACAGAGGTACGAAAAGTAATTTTTATTTTATTAACTAAAGTTTCCATATAAACTATATAAAAATGAGTGAGATATAATGTATAACATTATTTTGGTGATAATATTTAATAAATATAATGAATAAAAATGAGATTATTATTTTCCACTTAGAAATATTATTTATGTATTAATATAAATGTAACAGATGCTATTAACACCTTGTAACGTAAAATAATCGAATCAAAATAAGTCAAATTCGAATTATATACTTAATTAATTTTATTATTAAATATTATGTTTAATTTGTTTGATAATACGTATAATTTAATTATATTATAGCACAAAATTGGTTTGAAACAGAAAAACAAACAGCTGAAACTGAAAGTATATCAGTGGAAGATGTTCTTCAGGAAACGCAATTACCTAGTGTTCCCACTGGATCAGATGAAGATTCATATTGTGAAGTATGTCATGAAGCATTTGAACAATTTTATAATGAAGAAAAAGAGGAATGGCACCTTAGACCTACCATTTGCTTTGAAGACAAAAACTATCACCCTTTATGTCTTGAAGACCACAAAGTAAGTAAAATTTATTATAATTATACAAAAAATTTAATATTTATTTATTTACTTGTTTTATCGCTACTAAAAGGAAAAACTTCTTGTGGTACGTTCTTTAAATATAAGTATTAATTATTTTAAATATGTTGTAAAACTGAGTTAACCAAATTTATAGTTGAGTGTCTTACTTAATTTAATATAAATTAGGTGTAATATTTATACTTTTTTTATAGAGTGCTTTGGAAAAATCAGCAATGGTACTTGAAGAGGCTATAACTGAAATGGAAGAAGAAACAAAAAAAGAAGATGAACTTAAAAAAATAGAAAGAAATATAAAAAAAGAAATCAAAGATAAATTAATAATAGAATTAAAACCAAAAGAGAATAATAGTAAAGAAAAAGAAAAAATGGATGCCGAAATTGTTGATATTCAAAAAGAGGAAAAAATAGAAGATATAGATGATTCAGAGCCAATTGAAATTATTGAACCGCTTCCAAGAAAAATTGGTAAATTTCTACTAAAAATAATTAAAAATATATTATTTATCGATTATTATATTTTTGATATCGTTAACATTGTAAACATTAATTCAATAAATCAATATACTTTTTCAGAATAATTTGAAAATAAAGTTTTTTTTTAATAAATCAATACTATATACATTTAATTACATTTATGAATTTATATGTTTGTATGAAATATTTTAGAGCTTGAAGAAATAAATGACTCTTCAGATGATGAAACAATTGAAGAAATGAAAAAGGAACATAGAAAAAATTTATTAAGTGACACAATAATTAAGACACAAGAATACAACGCATATGAAAAGAGAATTGAAGAAAAAATAGCAGATAATGTTCCATTAATATTTGAAAATGTTAAAATAAAAGAAGAACCTATTGAATATGAAATAGGTAATATATTTTTACTGTACCTTTTACTATTTCATAACATCTTAAATTTTTTAAACACTATTACATTTACTATGAGAAAAAATTATTTAACTTAATATAAAAATATATTATTTCATAAGAATACTTTTCATAATAAAAAATTATTAGTTACATATTTGCATATAATTGCGTTACAGTGGTTGCATATGCTAATATTCATATAATGAAATTGAATATTATATTTTTATTTATATAAACTAAATTATAATAATTTATTTAATTGTATAAGATCGATGTTATTCTTTGACTTCTGTTTCGGCTTTACTATATCAATATCTATTTTGATAATTATAATTATGTTGAATAGAATTATGTAATGTTATTTTATTTTAAAGACAATTTTAAAGTATAATAGATATAATTTTGAATTACTGAAGAATTAAAACAATTTAATTTATAAAACGCTAAATCATTTAGAAAGAAGCATGTTCGATGTTATTAATTATTCTTTATTTATTTGATTTAGAACTTGAGGAGAGTATAGCTGAGGCTGCAGCTGTAGACACAACACAAGTTGCAGTAAAGAGTACTATCGACGGCAACGTGGAGCTGGACTCTGCAACGTCAACGATGCCCTCTGCACCCTCTAAAATCAAAATCAATATTACAAAATCTTTAAATCATGTGACAAAGGAACTTGAAGAAATTAAGGAAAAAGATAAGAAATTAAATGAGACTTCAATGGATCCCGCACCTGTGAAGCTTCTTACACCTGCTGCAATTAAATCTACATTGCAAGGCAAGAAGTTATCGATACTACCGACAGTAGAAAAAGGTTATGAACTCTCAGGATTGTGCTCGATTATGTAAATAAAATTTAAAAAAGTATACATGTATTGTAAATATAATCATTCTTAATGGAAATTGCAAATTAAATACGTGAATTTTCCATGTTAATAAGATCTTTGTTTTCTTTTCAACATAAAGAAAGAAAAATATGAGATCATTGTTTTTTCTTTTTTAAGTGTACATAATATTTTAAAAATTGAATTATGAATTTTGTAAATATTATTTTTAAGGATTTCTTGATCAATTGAATCAATGTTTATAAGTAACTCCATATGTACATTAAGGTAATAAGCGAATTTAAAGCTAGAGCATTATTTTTCTTGTACAAAGTAAAAAATGATTTGTCAAATACCGTAATCTGTATTTTTTTAAATTGTGAAGAAAATATTGTTTTCATCTATCTGATATATCTAATTTTTCTTGTGCAGCAATGATTTATATAAACAAATGATGTAATATGTGCGTATTGGTGTTATCTTGTTTTATTTATTTATAAAAACTATTATTGCAAAATATCAAGAATTTTGCTCATGGTAATATTTTTTATTTATAAACATTTCAAACAACTCTTGTTTTTCAGACTCTTTTCCTTTTTTGGAAGTTTGCTGATGGTTGTTTAAATTATATTTGGATTATATAATTCAACTTCAAAAATTCAAATAAATAAAGAAATGTCTTATTCAATTAATCAATTCCTTTTCCAATTTTTTTATTATTGAATTTTATATTTATTTTATATTCAATAATTGAGTTATTCAAAAATAATTTGATTAGATTTAATAAAATTTAAAATACTTTTATTCTTTGAATCAAATCTGGTATAGTTTATAGTCTATATTTAAAAAATTGTTTCAAAAATGTTTTTAATACAAGATTGTTAAAACTAGCTATGAATTTTTCAGTAGGTCATTAGTATGTTATTTATTTGTAATAATAGAAATTTAGCTTCACTACACATTTTAAATACTTCAGTCCTATGTTGAATATAAATTTATGTTTAAACATATATTTCTAACCTGGCTTTTGCGTTTGTTCTTTATTTTAAAATCAATACAAAATTTTATAAGCTCAGAAGTTTAGCCAATATTTCCAATTTTTTATATTTTTTATGAAAAAAAGGCTAAAATTTAATGATAACGAAATTAATTTTCATAAAATAAAACTGATACCAAATAGATACAATTGTTTTAAAATAGAATAAAAAATCATGTAATGCTAATAATATAAGTGGATAAAGTAAATGGAGTACTGTACTAAATTACTATTTCTTATTTACACCAGCATCTTATTATATCGTATTTTTCCATCTAAAATTGGATGCATTAATAAATTTAATAACGTTGAAGTATTTTTATTTTGTACTTGTCAACCTACGTAAATGTAAATTGTATAAAAATTATAAAATTCAATATTGCATTTATTAAAATTTATTATATTGTAATTTATTAAATTTTTTAATAAACAATGAAGTCTTCTAATTTGTTTTATATAAACGTATAATTAGCTTGTGTTTTTAATTTGTTGGGTAATTTGTTTTGTAAATATTATCATATAATTATTAGTGATATTTTTAAAAATCATTATTAACAGTGTATTATAAATGTTTCAAAAATTACTAAAACTTTCTTTAAGATTATGCTCTAGTTATGTTGAGTATATATTAAAAAATTTTTAACGTTACATTGTGGTGTGTATATTTGTCAGAAAAATTGCAATAATGCAAATTAAACTTGTATTGTAACTAATAGTTTTTAATAATTCCAACTTTTCTAGTTGTGGAGTACTAAATTATATAAATATATAAGTTCATAACTTAACTAACCTCAATTATAAAAGCTGAAACAAACAATAAACGATATTACATAGTGGCAGATTCATTTATCACAATTTACAGTATAATTATTTACAAAACTTATTTATAATTACACTTGCCTCTTATAAAGTCCAATAATTTCATGCACAATATCTTAATAATAGATTAAATTTTTAGATAATGATAGAGGACAACAAAATATCACTGGTTCCAGAAAAGAATATTTCAATGATAACTTTTAAAAAAAATCAGAAAGAAGAGAATAAACAAACTAAACAAAAAACAGTTAAAAATGAAAGTCTTAGTGATCAAGATGAATTGTCTAAAGGAAAATATGGTCATATTAAAATGATACAGAGTAATCAGACTTATAAAGAACGGAAATTTGTGTGCATTCAGGATCTAAATACAGATTATTTAGATAAAATTGTATGGATTAGAGGTAGATTACATACAAGTCGAGCTAAAGGAAAACAATGTTTTATTGTTATACGACAGCAATTTCATTCTATTCAAGGTTTAGTTGCTGTCAATGAAAAAGTCAGTAAAAAAATGGTGAAATTTATATCAACTGTTACGAAAGAATCTATAATTGATATTGAAGCAAAAGTTCAAAAGGTTACAAATCCTATAGAATCATGTACTCAAAAATATGTGGAAATACATATAATACAATTTTTTGTTGTAAGTGCATCTGAGGCACAATTACCATTACAAATTGAAGATGCTGCTAGATCTATTAACAATAATGATCCTACGAATTTAAATATTAAAGTAAATCAAGATACAAGATTAGATAATAGAATTTTAGATCTTAGAACGTTTACAAATCAAGCAATTTTTAAACTTGAAGCAGGTGTTTGCAAATTATTCAGAGATATTTTAACAAATAAAGGATTTGTTGAAATTCATACTCCAAAAATTATATCTGCAGCTAGTGAAGGTGGTGCAAATGTTTTCACTGTATCTTATTTTAAAAATTCTGCATATCTGGCACAATCACCACAGCTTTATAAGCAAATGGCAATTGCTGCTGATTTTGAAAAAGTTTTCACTGTTGGAGCTGTGTTCAGAGCTGAAGATTCTAATACACATAGGCATTTAACAGAATTTGTAGGCTTGGATTTAGAAATGTCTTTTAAATATCATTATCATGAAGTAATGAACACTATTGGACAATTATTTACAGATCTATTTAAAGGTCTCCAACAATTTTATAATATTGAAATTAAGATTATCAATCAGCAATATAAAGTTGAACCTTTCAAATTCCTAGATCCTCCAATAAAACTTGAATTTTCACAGGCTATTATGCTATTAAGGGAAGCTGGTATAGTAATGGAAGACGAAGATGATTTATCTACATCTAATGAAAAATTATTGGGTAAAATTATTAAAGCAAAATATGACACAGATTTTTATATTTTGGATAAATATCCTTTAGCTGTCAGACCATTTTATACAATGCCAGATTCTACAAATCCAAAAGCATCTAATTCTTATGACATGTTCATGCGTGGAGAAGAAATTATATCTGGAGCACAAAGAATTCATGATCCTGATTTTTTAACAGAAAGAGCAAAGCAACATGGTATAGATATAAATAAAATCAAAGCATATATTGATGCTTTCAGATATGGTTGTCCACCCCATGCAGGTGGAGGAATCGGAATGGAACGAGTTGTAATGTTATACCTTGGTTTAGATAATATTCGAAAAGTTTCTATGTTTCCTCGTGACCCAAAGCGAATTACACCTTAAAAAATGTGAAAAAATTACTTTTATACTTATATATGAATGATATTATTTTATCAATTGTAATGTTTAAAAGTTTTTCAAAATAAATATTCTAAAAAGCATTTATTTGTATTTTAGAATTAGAAAAGAAATTCTTATAAAAATTCTTAAATTTTTATTAATAAGTATATGGAATAATAATGTTTTATAACAGTATAGTTTGTTTTAAATATATAATTTTGTAATTTAATTGTTTTAAATTATATGAATGAGGAAGGTATACTTATATATATTTTTAATTTCTGATGAATTTCGATAGAAAGTTTACGAAAATTTATGTAATATCTTACATATTTATTATAGAAAACATCAACAAATAATTAATGTTATGCTCAAAATTTTGTCTGCCTATATTAAGATTATATTTTTAAGAATTATTAATGATATATATTATTATTCATCATAAAAATTTTTACAGTTGTCTTAAATATAATCTATAATAGATAAAAATTATTTTTATTGTTATAATTTAATACAATAACATTGTGAATGGCATAAACAATCAATCTATTTCTATTTTTATTCATTTTTAATTAAAAAAGAATTTCATATCTCACATACATTCATATAGCACAAGTTAAGTCATAATTATACATAAAAATATATCTTCCAGTAGAAGCTGACAGTAATTTGATATTACTAATTTCATTTTAAATCAAGAACTATGAGCAGAGTTATCAAATAATTATTGCTTTTATCTATCAATTACATTTTTTTCTAATTATATAAATATATTAATAATTGTTGTCCATAATTTTATTTGTCAATTTGTCCATATTTGTCAATAATTTTATATTTTATACAAAAGTAAATAAATATTTAATTATATTGTTTTTAATTCTTATAATAAATTTAGAAAATTAATTAACAATAACTAATACAATTTAATCTATTAAAAAATAGTATAAAATTAAAAAAATTTTACGGTGCTAATTGTATTTGAAAAAAATAACTTAATATATTTAAAAATAAAATAAATTAAAGAAAAAGAAAGTTTTACAATTAAAAGAATTTCTTGAAAAATTTAAATTTTCTTATTTTATGACTGTAGTCTACATCTTTTTCTAGAACTAAATTTCATCATGTTTCACTAAAATTTTGTTGTCTATAGTGCAAGTTTCTTCTTTGATAGAATTATAAAAATTTGTATTAAAAGAAATAATAATCCAAAATAATAGTGTAAGTATTGCAGTTATAGAGATCAATAAAAAATACTTTAATAAGGTAATATCCTTTTGAAGACTTATATGTCTTTCTTCTATTTCAGAGATCTATAAAATAAAAATACATTATTTAATTAACATTCAATAAACAATTATTTTAATAAATAAAATATTTGATATTATTTCTTATATACTAATATAATAATTATAAAACATTAAATATATCTTTCAAATATTATTCATTTACAAATAGCGATGTAATTAAAAATCTTATTTAAGTAGATATTTTAATATTAATATTAATAATGTCGTAATGTTTCTTCATTTAAAATTAATTGTATCTAATAAAAAATATAGTTATTTAAATAAAATCATGATTGTAAATCAAACGTTTTTTTTTATTTAATAATGTAAGATATTCTTTAGCTTTCGAATTTTTTTTTAATCAAAATTAAAAAACATCCTTTTGTTGTTATCAGTGCAATCTTTTACTTAACTAGAGTAGTTTATCAAATGGAAATAATTTTTAATAAAAAAGTATATTTATTTTATTTCTTTCTTCCTTCATCGAATGCTTAACTAGAGAATGCAAAAAATAAATTTTATAGCTTTTTTTTTTAAGAAAAATAGAATTTATATAGAAAATTTGTGTATCTAAAAAAAAGTTATTCAATATTCAATATTGAATTTGCACACCACTTAAATTATTATAAGATCATCTGTAAATTTCTTAAAACTACGTAAAGTTTAGAAATTTCATAATTTTGCAACTAAGCAGTGACATTTCCCTTTTTATATATTTTTTATTTTATAAAATTTATTTTACAAACTTAATTTATCAATAATGCACCATCATAAGTAATTATTCAAATTACTATTCCTATTTTGTAAAATATATTATTAAACTTTTTTTTTAAATATTTCCAAGATCATGTGTTAAAATACAAATAGATAAAAGGTTTGAATTCTTATTTTATTTTTAATAATTTTTATTGTAATTTTTTAATAAATTGAAGTATGTTATTCTAGCTTATATGATCAGAAATTTAAAATAAATACCCAGAATTTGCTATTTAATAAATACAAGTTCCGTGCAAGAACATTAATCTAGTGTTATTTTATTATTATAGCTATAACAATAACAATTGACACTGCAGTACAACAATATTTTCCTAGCATAGGATTACTTTTTTGTATGGTTTTTGAATGAAATTTATTAATTTTTATCATTTCTCTTATATATAAAATGAATTAACGAAATGAATAAGATACAATTAAAAATATTTTTAAATCTTTCTTCAAGTAAATCTATTAATTAATAGAATATAAAGAAATATTTGTTTAGTTTCTTACATAAATTTTGTATACTCATTGACAGAAAGCTTATACTATATTATTTTGAGATTAATTTATTCTAGACACCACATTTATTTTACTTTTGATTTTAAGTATTTCACAGAAATCTGTGAAACTTAAATTAGTATGTGATAAAAAATCATTTTTGTCCTTTGATAGTGGTAATATAGTTTACTCTTTTAATATATAATTCAAGCGAGTAGTATAAGATATAATCTGAATGATGTATAATAAGTTTTATTTACAAAAAATTATACTTTAGGTAATCCAATAATTATTATTTATGGTGAGCTGTACAATAGAGGAATGAAAAACTTACTAGACGAATATACATGTCGATAAATATATCATCTGGATTCTATGTACTATAGCAGGAATGATATGTATAATTATTTTATATGATACTATTTGTAAAGTTATGACATAAATTTTGTTTAATTTTTATAGAAATTATACATATATACAATTTTTATATTTAAGTGTATTGATTATGTACAATTATATATTAAACAATTGTATATAATGATATGCATTAAAATTAAATTACAATAACTTTACAAATATATTTTTATTTAAATTAATCTTGAAATATCTGATCAATTTTTATTTATTTAATCATTTGTTATATACTATTTTATAAAAATAAATTTCCTGAAAAGTAAAATTACTACTATTTTTCAACATGATACACTATGAAAAATTTGAATTTATGAAATGAAGTATAAACGACAAAAATACATAATGTATAATAATACATAATAAAGTTTGCAATGTGATTACAGTTTTAATTATTAAATTTATAAATTTGTTAAATATTTCCAGATTACTTTAAAAGAATTTGAATTCAATTATTTTATACATAAATCTTTCTAAATAATTTGTTTTATTCTGTAAAAAAGAAAATATGTTATTAAAATTATATTTTCATGTCTCTTTACAAAATGGCAATGAAGCGAAATATGAAACAGAGAAAATTTCCTTTTTTATTAAAATAATTTTTAATTTGTCAAATAAAGTCAATGTTTTTTGTTGACAACAAACGAAATACCTTTGTGAATAGTTAATATTTATTTTAATTAATATAATAAGAATTCACAAACCGAAATTGGTAATTATAATTTAAGTATATTTTAGTTTGGACTCATTTATGAAATAAATATTAATTATATTAATAAAATAATCTTAAAATTTTTAATTTCAAACTAACCCTTGAGAATAATAAGTTGATTGATGTTTTGGAACTGGAACCATTGCCATAATAAAGCGTATTTGATTTTTGATCACATAAATTTTCATTTCCGTCACGGCAGATTAATCTGTATTGCTTTGCAGTTGATTCATTACTCTTGCAAAAATATTTTGTTATATTATCACTTGCTAATATCAAATTATTTATATTTAATAATATTAAAATAATTCGAGTTAAAGTACCTTCCAAAAATCAATTAATTCCGAAGCTAAAATTTTTGTATTTTCAATAGGAAGACACATAATAAGAAATCTATCATTTCCTAAGACACTTTGAGAACTACAACTAGTTTGTAAAGTAATTGTTACAGTGGCTTTTTGAGTTGCTAATAAAATTCCTGTACTTGGACGCACCTTAAATTTATCTCGAGAAGTAGTTTTTATCTAAATTTATATAAAAAATGTTATTAATTATCATCAAAATATGTAAAATCTTATTTAAATACTAACTTTATAAGACAAATGTTGTTCAGACATTGGATTTGTTAATGATATTGTTCCAATAACTTCAGTTCCATGTTTACTAAACGTTAATATATTTGGCTCTATAATTAAAACTGAAAATAAACAAAATTTCATAATTTATACATTAATAATTTAAAAAAATATGTTTGCTTTCCAATCTTACTGTCATCTTCAGTTTTTGTTTGATCTCCAAAATTAGTAACAGGCATATCAGTTGAACATGAATTTCCAATAAAATGAACCTTAATTAAAAAATTTCATATTCATGACATAGTAAAAAATTATATTTATATATGTTATAATAAATATTAGTAACAATTTTAATTTAATTTATAATATAAAATTACCTTTCTATTTTCTGGTTTTTCATTAGAAAGATTGATGGATTGTGGTTCACTGACAAATAAAAAAGTATAATCGTTTTTATCTCCCCAACATTTTAATGCTGATTTAGGTTCAATGAAGTCTTTTAATGTAGATTTTTTGACAAATTTTATTTTTGGAATTGCTTTTGGAGGCAACCAGGATTTAATTATACTAAATGCAGCATTAAGTGCCCAAGGCATTTCAAGTATAATAATATAATTTAAAAAATTTGGATAATAATTTTTAAATAAACCTATTAAAAATCTTGTTAGATCCATATCTAAATTTGACATTCCAGCATCCACCATATCAAAAAATAATGATATTTGATCTCCATTTCCTTCTCTGTAAAAATTAAACAATTTTGATAAGATTTGTAATGCATTTCTGAAAATTAATCATTTAGAATACCTTTCTAGTCTTTCAAACCAATAAACAATACATTTTTGTAGTTCTAAAAAATCTCTTGCATTTTTTGTATGTAATTTTGATTTAATGATAAAAAGTCTTTTTCCATCTTTATCTTTTCCAAAAACAAAGCAGATTCCAGCTTCTAAATATTCCTTTCTAACATTATTTTCAGTAATATCTGGAAAAAAATATTTATTTGTCTACTTTTTTTAAATAAAAATATTTTTTATTTATATTTATATTTCGTTAGTTAAAATAACAATAAGATAAACGAGTAAATTATTACTTTTATATTTTTTTAGTTTTATTATAATTAATTTTATGTTAAATGAGTATGCATTTACCGTTAGTGCCAAAATTTTTTCTCCATTCACAAGTATCCCACAACATTTTTAATGCTTCCTGAACATTAAATTCATTATGTTCTAAAAACCGTTGTAACCATTTATCAGTCGATTTAATTTTATCAATGTCTGCAGAATGAAAATTTCCTAAAATGAAAAATATTAATATAATAATCTACATATTTATATAACTAGTAAATGTAATAAACTAATAAAAATTAGTGTATTTAACAGTTTGGTATTGGAATCTTAGATATAATAAAAATATTTAAATAATTTTTTTATTAAATATTAAATTTATTATAATGATTTGTATAATTAACTTTAAATTCTGAAGTTTTTATAAAAATTAAACCTAACAAATTTCAATTATATATTAAATTAAAACAAAAAAAATTAATTTACATCTTTATAGTTATACAAAATAAATTTAACTTCATTGCTTTATTAAATTTGTATCAATTATATAATTAATTTTTGATATTTCTTATTTACACAAAGGTTTTTATGAATAAATTTTTTTAAATTGAGATAAGTATATTTTAATTACTCCCATTAAAAAGAAATAAAAATTTTAAATAAGAGTGAAATTTAAGTAAAGAAATAAATTTTTTTGTAACAAAATAAAGTATATATTTTTATATGAATTTCTTCAAATATATAAAATATTTTTCAATGCCTAAGAATATTAAAAAAAACTACTAATTATTTATTTGGCAACAAACTTTTATTTAAACTTTTATTCATTATAATAATTATGTAAAACATAATTTATTATTGATCCAATTGTGTATAAGTTAATAAAAGTTTAGCGATGACTTATTAAATTATAGTTCATTGATTTTTATCAAGTTCAGTAAAAATTGAAAAATTTAGCTATCCAAAATCTGATTAAAAAATTATAAATTTTTGTATTATTCTTACGCGAATTGGGTGGTCCCTCGTCATCTAATTTTTTAAAAAATTTATCTCGGAGTTCAATAATATTCTGTACTTTTTGATCCATTTTGTAATTGTTCTTTTTGATGTTATATAAATTTCTACTTTCAACTTTTTGTTCCGTATAATTATCCACAACAAGACATTTGTATATAATTAAATGAATGTAGTATGTATGCTACAATTGAAGTCTGCATAGATTTAAAAAAGTAAAAGAAGGGATATCGAAATGTGGATATATCAAAAATATCGTAAATTCTTTTTTTATTTGTAAATGAAACTACATTAATCAAAACTTGTTCCAAATCAACCGAATACGGCGTATTACATACCTATGAATTTTTTTCACAAGTCATTTGCAAATAATTTGAAACATGCATGTACATCTGATTAATAATGTATATCCACAGGTGAGAGTGATCATATGTAGATATTGATTAGTTGTTTTAATAAACTTAACTGGAACGTCATGAGTTTGGTTTAATGTTTTCTAAAAAGATAAAGAAAAATTTCTGATGCAATCTCAAAAGCGTGTGTAAGTTTTAAATATTGAAAATTTTTCTTAAGTAAAAGATAGTTTTTACTTATGCAACAACTAACAACTAAAAGAAAAATATTTATTAAAGAGAGAACCGAACAGTTATTGAATACATTATAAGTACTATTTAATAGAAATACGTACCCTGAAGTTAACTTGCATATTAAATAATTATGTCATTGGTTGAAATTGTTGTGCGCATTATTAATTTAACTTAAAAATAAAATGATTTGTTTAAATAAAATTTAAAAAGGATTAACATTTTTTCAAAAGTATAATTAACTCAGTACACTTTTAAAAAAATACATTAGTTAACATATTTGAATTGATTAGATTAATTAATTAAATATAAAATATTTTATAAATAGTAAAAATGTTAAAATTATATATTTTTAACTGTATTATATAATGAAATAGATAAGAATAAAAATAATATAAGCAATCTTTTTTTTTTCTGATAATATAAATATTGTAAAATATTTACTAGAAACATCATAGAGCTTAACAATTATCTCTTAAAATAACTATTATATTTTATATTTTTGATCTTGTTTTATTTTGTATAATGATGCTATGTTAATATTCCTACAATTGCCAATGCCCATTCTGTTACATATATATATATATATATATATAACGATAGAATTGAATACTTCATAAAGAAAAATTGTCGTTTATTGTTTTACTATGAAATTTGTATTTCATTCATCTTATATTTTGTTATTGTTATATATTTGATTATTTTATATTAAATTTTATTTATATACATTTTTATTTTTATTGATATTCTAATCATTTCTACGTATATGTAAGGAATTAATTTTTTATGCATTAATAAATAATACGCGCATTTTAGATATGTAATTTTCGAAAAATGAAAGTATTTACTAAGTTTGTGTGAAATACCTTATTGATTGACGATTGATAGTTAGAAATTCATCAAAGATTGGCTTAGATCATATATTACTACAATAAATGTTATGTATTAAAATAAATTTTTAAACCTATAGTATTATAACAAAAAAATTAACAACTTCATAACTTTAATTTGATACTATGTAGTGTTATAATAATTCCTGTCATTGTTATATCTTATAATTTGATATCCACATTTCTTTTGATATCTAATTCAGTCTATCAGAGTTTACGTTGTATATTAATAAATTGCAGATATTATTTTAATCATCCATTAAAAAAAAGTCTTAAAGATCTACATGTATATAATTACTACAAGGTCGTTATAGGTTACGAAGACAAGCTTTTTTATTATACTGAACTTTAGATTTCTGTTTTTTGTAGAAAGCATTTAATAATCACCTTGAGAAATTTTACTTGTACTTTGGTGAAAAAACTTTAAAACAACAAATTGCTGAATGTATCTAAAGGAATTAAGGTATGTTACAGATTACACTTGAAGTTTAATAAATTATAAAATGGAAGAACATTAGAGAATAAAATATTGCAATGTCCTTATAAATTAGATTTTGTTAAGAAAATGAATTTAATAGAACCGTTTGTTCTCAAAATTGACTTAAAATTCATATTCTCCAATCTATATTGAAATTCTGATAAGTTAACTCAAATTTCAAGTTTTGTTTGATTTTGCAGTCAGTAGGTGTAAAATAATGAATGACACATTGTTATACAAATTGCAATGTCTTCACAGTCAATAGCTTTATACACTTGATAGTATGTAGCATCTGAAAAAATATAATGAAAAAACTAGTAATGAATTTGAAATTGGTGTACTGAAGTGTAAATCTTGATGTGAATTTATTCAAATAATTCAATATGAGAATATGTGTAACAAAGAAATGTTGATAATTACCTAAATCAAGTAACTCTGTACGATACTGGAATATAGATATATCAGTTTCAATAAGAAATAATATACAAGTTATTGTATAATAATAAGTTAATGTATTATAATATATAAATAATTATATAAAGAAATTTATTATAATAACATTTTTCATCACTTAAAAATATTTTTATAATTCTCTGTAAATTAAAAAATTATGTAATATTTCTAATAATTAATAATTGCCATTGTTAAAGTATACAATAGTATACCTTTATGCCATTAGCAAAATAAGCACCTGCATACTCCTGTATACGAAAATTATATAGGAAAAAAATAAAGAATTGATAATTTTTAATAAATACAATAATTAAATAATTGAATTGATTAATTATTGCTTATAAAATTGATTTAATATATCCTTTAATATATATTGTCTTTATATTACTATGATTGATTTTTTAAATTTATAATATGTCAAAAAAATGTAATTAATAATTAATATTTTTATAAATTTTTAGAATCAAATATTAAACATATACAAATAGAAAAATAATTTCAAAATTTATTTTCAAAAAATAAACTCAAATTAAAACAATAAACTAATTAAGAAATTGCTACTACACTTGTAAAAAAGAAATTTTAATATACACCAGTGAATTTGGTTAATACCAATGTCACCTCGGTTTCTTAGTTTTTAAAAATATATTTTACTTGTAATTAGAACCCTTGATAAATATTTTTAATACAAAATCTGTATTTATTAGTTATTTTTTATATAATGCTATCAATTTTAAACTGAAATTTTGTTAATAATTGCATCTAAAAATAAATAAATATAAGTTACCTTATCTACATAGACAATGTTACTAGAACACTATAATGCATATAAAGCACTTCAACAAATTATCAATGTATGAAAAGATTATTGATGACATCTTTGAAATATAGTCTTAAATATTTAAATATTATATTGAAAAGCTTATGATAAAGGAGCATAATAAGATTTTAATATATTATTATATTAATTTGAATATAATATTCAAATGTTATTCTAGAAATAATATGAACTCAGAGATACTAAAATGAATTACGTAGTATTAAATTATTATATATTTAATTATATATAAGCATTTATAACCATCTACAATTTTGCATATAATTCTGAATGGGTAAAAATAATTTTTATTTTATATTATATTCGAAAATGATTAAAGCATTATTAACACAGTTATATATCATAAAATTTGTGATTAAAACGTAACAAATAGTTATCATTATGTAATGAAAACATTGAGTTAGTCCGTTATTCAGCCAATGTGCAGCCTCTTAAGAAGAGATATATTTCTTTGAAATTTAATCTATTCTTTGTTTGTTTATTCCAGCATTATTTGCAGATCATTCGACAAAGTAAATCATTCTTGTAATAAAATATGCGACACCTGTAGTTGATTGTTGTTTGAACATCAACATTACTTGCTCGAATGGTAATTCTGCATATAATAAGTTCACTGCATCTGCAGAAAATGTCTTACATTGACACGGCAACGAATTATACACCACATTGACTAATGCAGTTGTCCTAATCACAAATAAAACGAAATTTTTAATGTAAAAGATATAATTTAGTATGAAGAGATTTATTTATGTAATATACCAACTGTAATGTGAACAAATACAAGTATAAATAATTATCGGTATTGCTAGATGGATAATAATTTCAGCCTTGACTTTTTAAAAATGTAATTTTTAAATGAAAATCTATATTCATTTTGTAAAATTCATAAAAAAAGAAATTTTATACTAAAATTTTATATTTGTGTTTTTTATTTGGAATTAATGGACAAATTATTATTATTATGTACTTATAATGAAAACAGTTTTACAATTATTTTATTATTTTATTAATATTATACTTGAATATCTTAAATAAAAATTAATTTGAAGTCATTTGAAAAGTACTAAATAAATACAAATAATATATATTAATGTGTTATTTTATGATAAAAATAAAAAAAAATTTTATTACTTAATTTAATATTAATAAGTAAATATTACTTATTTTTTAATCAATTAAGAATATTGAATTACATTCATTTTGGCTTATATTAAAATATTATTATTATTAAAATAGATTCGTTTTAATATAAATTGAAACTTTTTGAATTTATATATAAATAAAAATATTTTTTTTTTTATTATTTTTCTAAAGTCAATGATACTATCGTTTGTAAGATATCTTTTTATAATGGTAGAAGAATAATGTTTGTATTGATTATAGATATATTGCAAGTATTGATTGTGTTTTGGTAATTTAGATTTGCCTTCCATCATACTAAATAATATAAGAAGTAATTAAATGCTTTTCATTAGTTTTGATTAGCAATTTTGGTTGGTAATATAATAGAAAACTGAGCGCGAAAAAAGATTCTTATTATTTATCTAAGAGCTATTAAGTAGAATATCTTCATTTATAAAATTTTGTGTGGCCAATTATTATTTGATAAATTACAAATGCAACTCTAGAGACATATTTTATTTAATCAATCATTAATAATATTAAAAGCTAAATATAGTAGATACAGCTAATGTACAAAGTTACTGTACAAAATATTTAACTAACTTAATTTAATTCTATTTATTTAAATAATTTAAAAATATTATTTTTTTTTAAATATGTAAGAATATTGCATGTTCATGATTTATTTAAGTTCAATTTTTTAGATAATTATTTGTAGATATACGTGTTTTATTTTATATTCAATAATATTTATTAACAAGTTGTTTTATATTACACATTCAAGCATTAAGTAATAGCATTTTATTAAGTACAATTTCATTTATCCTGTAAGTTATACTAACTATTGAGATACATATATGTCAACTTTTTATTTGAAATAATAAGTGGAAAAACTTGTATACTTTCCATTATAAGTGAAAAATTTCTTGCTCTTGCAGTGGCAAGTTTGCGAGTATGATTATCTATAGAAAAATATCTAAGTCTTTCTGCAGACGTTGCACTATTCATATTAACTGCCATCCTCTTAATAGTGTTTTAGATTTTTTTATTATGGCGATCAAGTATATTGAATCTTAATAGTGAAATACGATTGTTCAACCATTCATAAGATTAATAAGTGACGTTGACATGTTAATATCCTTTATATATTAATAGTTATACTTGAAAT